AGCAGAGTTTTTCCGGGATGCCCCCCTCCGTGGAACTGCAAGCAGGTGTCAGAAGGGCCACCAAGCAGGACCAGTCTTGGACTCACTGGGGCCTAGAGCAGAAAGCTGAAGGCCCTGCATGGGACTGCAACCCAGAGCTCTGAACCATTCCACCTTGAGCTGAAGAAGAAGCCTGAGGAACTTAGGTATGTCTAAGGGCACACTTATTTCAAAATAACTCATATTATTTCAAAATAACAGAGTACACGTCTACACAGAAAGCCTGTTATTTCAAAACTATTTCAAAATAATGGGTTTCTTACTCCAACTCCTGTAACCCTCATTTCACGAGGAGTAAGGAAAGTCGAAGGAAGCACGTTCTTCCTTTTACTTCCTGCTGTGTAGACAGTACCTAAAATTGAGTTAAGCTATTTTAGCTATGCAAGTAACATCACTGAAGTTGCGTAGCTTGACTTGACTTTGTCCCCCAGTGTAGACGTGCCCTTCATTAACTTCACAGTGCTCTCTGTGGCATGGAGTTCCAGGTAATTGCCCTGATCACTATCCTCTAATGACAACCCTGGATTTATCTGCACAAACCCAGTAGTGGTGGCACAGGTGGGCTGTGGAGTTTTTATAACATGTCTGGGGGGGAAGCTCATGAAGAAAATGTTTGAGAACCTCTGTTCTAAGATTCCCACTCTGCCTTTCACACATACCGACTGTCCACCTCAGTTGTCTTTTACTTTACTTTCTGCAGCAGATGAACAAAAGCCATTTCTCCGCCTTCTGTTAAGCCCAATACATCCTCTGACAGACCATGGCTACAGGAATTAGAGTACTGTCCAGTTGAGAGAAGAAGTGTGATGGAGGTGAATGCATCAGATAGATTAAGTACAGGAGTTCTCAACCTAGGGATTGCAAACAGGTCTGGAAAGTGGTCACTGCCATCTTTTTCTTTATGGCTAGATACGAGAGGAGACAGATGAATCCCTAAGTTTCTTTCTGGTGTAACATGGTGTTGCTCTATAGAAAATATTGAGAACAACTGCAACAGTATTAACACGTATGTTAATAAAAGGGATAAAAAAAGAGGCCTAGAGAAGAGGAATGCCTTGAATTTTAATAGTCACATTCTTATGAAAACTATTTGATACATATTCAAATAGGATTATTATTTACTTTCATATTACATTTCACACCCAGTATAGCAGTCCCTCACAAGGCCCTGCCTACCACTTAGCGTTCACTTATACCTGTAATATTGGTCTTAAGAAGATGAATAGAATCTTTATTGGGTCCTCTTCATCTTGAATAACTACTAGTCACATATTCACAGGATGTAATTTAGTTTTTCTAGTTGTTATGAAGACTTCCCCTAACCTCACCACAAATTCTTATCTCTACCTGATTGGTGGACTTTTTTATTAGTTGTAGGCTGCGGGGTGGGAATACTTTTCAAAACTAATCCCTTGAATTATGTTAGGAGTAAGAAATGACTTATTTTTCTTAAATTGACATTTTTAAGCACTTCAACATGGGGAAGGCTTTAAAATGGACAAATTAAATTGCAATGAACCCCTTTCAGATAAATAGCATTTGTATATTGGAATTAATGTATTTCTTGTAGGCTGGTACAACTCCGTGCCTGCAGCTACACGAGACACCGAGTAGGTAGTTCGAACTAAAGATCCTAATTCAAATTACCGTTACTCCTCATTCCATGAGTAACGGTAGTTCAAATTAGGATCTTTTATTCGAACTACCTATTCCATGCCGCGTGTAGCTGCGGGCACGGAGTTTGGACTAAGGGGGATTAAAAAATGGCGGCGCCTGGGAACATGCAAATGAAGCCTGGGATATTTAAATCCTGGGCTTCATTTGCAACTCCGCTTGCCCTAATTACCCTACCTAGCTCGAACTAACGAGCTAGTGTAGATGTACCCTAAGTCTATAAGGTGCCACAGGACTCCTTGTCGCTATAATAGGGAAGGGCAGAGCTAAATTTCCTTAAATGCAATCATGGATCACTGAAAGGGCAGCTGTACAAGGACAGTGAATATACTCATCTGTGTTCTTTTGGGTGCATAATGTAGTTTGATATTCAAAGAGTGCTGTTGGAACCAATTTGTTCTATATATACAGAAAGAACACAAAAGCATTAATTTTGAAAACTGCATTGTGCTTTGCAAGCCAACAAAATAAAGTCTAAAAGTGGCCCATATTCTAGGCATAGCATCAGCTTCCTTTTAAGAATGACCCATTTCACTTCCTACATGATTTCTCTTCTACTGTTCTTCCAGGGAATCAGGATTTAGACTTGACTAGCGCAAGTCTGCCAAGGAACTGCAGGCTTGACTTTATATGGGATTATTGCTCTCTCTCACTCATTGTCATAGTACATGGATAGGAGCCACAAAGTTGTGATTTGAAGAAACATTTAAAATGTGATACACACATAGATGTAATCCGTATGTTTTGTTTGTGTTCTAGCAATTTCTGGCACCATGGTTAAATGGTAGGCCTTTGAGTAAATTTTGTAACATCGTACATTTATTTTCCAGTACTGCAAAAAAGTGTGTAAAATGTTTGTAAAAGGGCAGTAGAGCAGCACAAAAGAAAATACAGGCAGTCCCCGAGTTACGCAGCTCCGACTTATGTCGGATCCGCAGTTACGAACGGGGCCCTCCCTCTCCCTGGTCTCCAGCAGACCAGGGAGAGGAAGCAAAGCAGCAGAACACGCGGGCAGCGGACAGCCCAGACGCGCAGCCCAGCCCAGACAGTTCCGCCGCTTTGCTCTGCTTTGCTCCCCGTCCCCCTGGTCTACAGACCAGGGGGACGGGGAGCAAAGCGGCGTAACACGCGGGCAGCGTGTTCCACCACTTTGATTCCTCTA